CCCGGAGCCTGCCCGGGGGCCGGAGGGGCGTGCGAGAGCCGGGCGCGGGCCGCGGGGCCAGGCCCGTCCCTCCTTTACATGGAGCCTGTGCGCCCTTCTGTGCTTCTTGCCACAGCAGCCCGGAGGTCCGCGGGGAGCTCGGCAGGAAAGGAGGAAGCCGAGGGCCGGCGCCGCCAAAACAGCAGAGGCGGGAGCGGCGCCTCCGCGGCCGGGAACGCGGGACGTCCGGGTAGTGTCCCGCCTTCTCCGCCGCTGGCCGCGCGACCCCCGAAAGCCTCACCCCGCGGCCACACCGCCCTCGTCAAGCTCCGCAGCCGAGGATAGCCCGGCCGCCACTACACACGGGCCGTGACGTCTGGCGTAGCGCGGCGCACGTCACGGCCGCTCACTCGGGCACGCGCGGCCCTCCTCCCGCTGCGGCCGCGCGCCCAGCCGGGCAGAGCGTGTCAGCGCCTGCGCAGTGGCCTGCTGTGCCCACGCAAGGCCGGGCCCCGCCTGCCGGGTAGCGTGGGGGTTGTCAGTCCTGGCCCCTGCGTCGGCTCCGCCCCTGGCTTCTGCGCGCGGCCTGCGCTTTACGGCACTTATGTCGTAAAAGAGCCTGGGATCTGTCGCACCTCCTTGTGAGCTCAAGTCTCCGACCGCGGCGCCAAGATGGAATAGTGGCTCCAATTGTATTGCGGGCTGCACCTGAGGGCGGCGAGCCTGGAGAGGCAGCGGCCGACTCCAAAACCAACACAAGGCATTTAAAGATGAAGAACCTCTGCCTCTTAATTGATGAACCAAGTTTCAGAGTTGTTTCCTGAAGGACTTCAGAAAAGACCTTAGGCTTGGACTTGGCGGGTAGCTCATTTGGTCGATCTCTTGCCTGCCTGACGTACTCCAAGGCCATGGGTCCTCTTCAGCATCACAAAACAAAAAAGTTGCCAGAAGTAAACCCACCCACCCCGAGATTGTCCAGGGGTTTTTTGTTTGGTTGGTTAATTAGTTTGGGGGGAAGAGTTCTTTTGGATTTGGTTTTTGTTTTATTTCTTTAAACAGGGTCTGGCATTGAACTCGCAGCAGTCCTCCTGCCTCAGCCTCCCAAGTGCCGGAATGACTGCCTTGTGCCACCATGCTTAGCTATTGCCCAAGTTTTGTGTGTTTTCTATTTAGTTTTTATCGTCATTCTAGGTGGGCCCAGCAAATACAGTACTACTTAACGTCAGTTCAGAGCGATGAGTTGACTACTGGTTGGTACTGGTTCAGCTCCCAGTACTAAAAAACAAGATCACTGGTCTACCCTGAAACCCAGATTTCTCACACCTAATTCTTCCTTTGCTCCTCGTTGCCCTTGGATAAAGCATAGATTAATTGGACTATAGCTGGAGGCTCTCCGTGGTGTGACTAACCTGCCCGGAGGTTTTTACCACACGAACTGGGAAAGCGGCCGTTCAGCGCTACTCTTCTCATTTCCTCAGCTGCCTGTACAATTTCCTGTCCCAGTCCTCTCTGCAGAGGCAAGGACTTATGAACAGAACCCCAGTGGCACAAGAAATAATACCAAGAATCAACAAATGGAATCATATCAAATTAGAAAGCTTCTCCACAGCAAAGGAAACCACCAAAAGAGTGAAGAGACAAAGATGGGAAAAATTATTTTCCAGCTATTTCCTGGACAGAGGACTAACATCTAGAATACGTAAGAACCCAAGTGAAATGAATAGAAACGTCTTAGAAAAAGTACAAATAGCCAATAAATAGATTTTTAAATGTTCAATTGACCATTAGCAAAATGCAAATTAAAACTACACTGAGGTACCATCTTATACCAGAAAGAATGGCTATCATCAAAAAATCAACCAAAAAACCCCTAATATTAACAAATGCTGGTGAGGTTGTGAGAAAAAAAAGAATTCTGCACTGTTGGTGGGAATATAAACTGGCATAACCACTATTGAAGTCAGTGTGGAGAATCCTCACAAAACTAAAAATAGAAATTCCATTTGACCGAGCTATCCCCTGTGTAAGTATCTTCCCAAAAGACAAAATTATCAGGGATACATGCAAACCCATGATTGTAGCAGCACAATTCATAATAGCTAGATTTCAAAAACAGTATATATGTCTATCAACAGATGAATGGTAAAGAAAATTATTTATACAGAATGGAGTACTACTGTGCCATAAAGATGAATTTCAGCAATTCATAGATACATGGATGCAATTGAAGAACATAATGTTAAGTGAAATAAGTGAGACACACCAGCTTAAATATCACATGGTTTCTCTTATGTGAGAAAAAAGTATATTTATGCAAATGAGGGTTAGGGAGGGCTTGGATGCCGGGAATGGGGTTCTACACATTCCTGGAAGACTTGGCAAAGGTGCTCAAAGATGTACTGAGAGGAAAGAAAATATGTTTTGTGAAAAATGAAAAAAAATTACCAATATGTTGATTTTCTCTTCTTCAGCAGCTCAGCAGCAGCCAAGGTCTTGTGCAAGGTCACCCCAGCCTCCATCGCAGTCATCTGATCATCCTTGTTCTTTGAACCACTTTGGCTTGTCCAACCTGGAAATCCTCATTGTTGTTGTAGATGGTGGTGTTTTGTGGGCAGCTAGTCCGGATGAAGCAGATGCCCTTTGTATTGGCTGCTAATTCCACCACCTTTTCTGTAGCAACTCTGTCTCTTGGATAGAAGCCAGTTGACTTGGGGACTGCCCAAAACATGGCCAGATCTTCCAGGGTCATCTGAGAAGGCCTGTCTCTCCTGATGGACACACCACAGTGGGAGCCACAGAGGTTGATGGTGCTCTCAGAGGTGGCTGCCAAAGGCCCATGTGAAGAAGGCTGTGAAAGTGCTGCAGAAGGGCATGGTCCTGTTGCGTGTGGCACAGCCCAGGGCAGTGCTCACCATGTTCTGCTCTGCAATGTAGCACTCAATAAAATAGGGTGCTCCTTTTTAAAGATCTCTGAGAAGGTAGAATTCTTTGTGTCCCCGTCCAGGGCAATGATATGGTCCCTGTGGCCCAGCTTGGCCAGTGCCTGCCCATAGGCTTTGTGGGTGGCTATCTTATCCCCAGCTTTGTAGCTGGGTGGAGAGGGCATGCAGATATTGGTGATATCAGCTGAGGGGGCATCCTCATGTGGGGGCATCACCATGATCCTTTTGCTCTGAATCTGGCTGTAGATCTCCTGGATGATACGATTATCCATGTTTTGGGAGAGGGGCTTCCTGTGCCAGGACTCCTTATCTTCTATCCCTATGATCCCTTGGCCCTTGAAGGTCTTGGTGATGATTGCTGTGGGTTAGTACTTGGCCTGCCAAAGTCCTTGTACAGCTCCTCCACACTCTGTCCACAACCATGGCGTGCCAGCCAAAATCCTCACAGCACTTCTGGTAGATGTCCACTGGTGCTGCAGTGGAGCAGGGTCACTCTGGCCCAGGCAGTTGATGTCAAGAATGGCCACAAGTTGTCCAGCTTGTAAATGCCAGCAAAGGCCTCCCACATGGAGCCCTAGACAACTTCCCATCACGCAGCATGCCATAGACTCAGTAGCTGGCTTTGTCAAAGTGTTTGCCTGTGTAGGCCATTCCACAAGTGGTCCCAAGACCCTGGCCTATGCAGCCAGTGGCCGCATCCATGAAAGATTGTTTCAGGACAAGGTGTCCATCCAGGTCAGAGCTGACTTTCCTCAGGTTTAGCGGCTTTATCTCAGGCAGGAAGCCAGCTTCAGCCCAGGCAGCATACAGAATGGGAACTATATAGCCCTGGGACTGTTGCAGGATTCCAAGGGTCCAGGGCCTTGTAGCACAAGGTGTGGAAAAAGGACAGCCATGATCTCAGTAGCACTGCAGCAGGACATGAGGTGGCCCAAGCCAGTCACTGTGGTGGTCTGGGTGGAGCTGATGTGCAAGCTGTTGGCAGTTCCTTCAGGGCCTGCAGCTTCTGCTGCTCTGGCTTGTAGTAGCCCTTCATGGAGCAGCCTGGTGAGGGCAAGGATGCCAAGAGCGGAGTGACTGACTGCTTATATTGGTAATTTTTGTTTCCTTCATTTTTCATCATCATTGGTTGTTAACTTTATTAGTTTTCCCAGAAAATAATTTTTGCTTTTCTTAATATTTCCATTGTACAAGTTTCTTTGCATTGATTTGTGTTCATTGGTTTACAATATCTCCTTTACTTTTTGTTTTTCTTTTATTTTGTGTCAAATTAATTGGTTGAATTATTCATTTTTAATCTTTTTATCATATATTCATTTAGGTTACTTTTTCTGTTTGGTTGGTTGCTTTTGGTTTTTGGTTTTTGAGACAGGGTCTCAGTATGTGGTTCACACTGGCCTTGAACTCACTCAGTAGCCTAGGCTGGGTCTTTTTTTTTTTTTTTTTTTTTTTTTTTAAAGAATAAAAGAAGGATAACATAATAATAGGGGGGACTTAGCAAATTACAGACAAAATGGTAGGAAATTATCAATGGTTATCGTTTTACATATTATTATCTACAAAATAGTTTCTCAGGAAAACAAATAGACAAATAATAGTGAGTTAGAGACAAAAGAGGTAGGAGATTCTCAAGAGTTGTTGTGCTATACTTTGGTATCTTCAAAGTGGCTTCTAAAGAAAATAAATAGAGCTATACATGAGTGACCTATTGAAAAATCATTAACTATTCTCAATGGTTGTTGTAGGAAACACATAATAATAAACATACATTATGAAATAGGATAGGAACATTACAAACTTAACACAGTTATGGATAGATTAGTAGGAAAATATCAATGGCTGCTGTAATACGTGGTGGTATCTTCAAAGTGGTTTCTCAGGAAGACAGAGATAGGCTGGGTCTTGAACTCATCAGGATCCTCCTGCTT